CTGCCCTCCACGCCTCCTCTCCCCCACCGCCCCCTCTCCTTTCTCTCTTCCCTTCCTCCCCCTCCTCCCCTCCAGCCGCTGGGAGCCGCGGGTCGGACGAGCCGCCGCCTCCTTCTCTGCGTCCATGTATGAGGGGAAGAAGACGAAGAACATGTTCCTGACCCGGGCCCTGGAGAAGATTTTGGCCGACAAGGAAGTGAAGAAGGCGCATCACTCCCAGCTGCGCAAAGCTTGCGAGGTGGCGTTAGGTGAGTGGGGAGGAGGCCCGGGGATGGGTTGCGGGGGGTGGGACGGGGACAGCGGCGGGGAGGGGTCGGGGTCGTCGCCGTCGCCTGGAGGCTTGCCCCAGGCCGGCGCGGGTGACCTCGGGGAGCTCTCGTGGAGCTCCTTGCTCCTTGGCTGGAGTTAACAGCAACTCGGCTGGATGTGGGGCAGAGGCGGGCTAGAGGGAGAAAGGGTAGGTCGCTGGGCTCGGGGAACTCTGCAGGGCTCGGGTCGCGGGGCACCTAGGTCGGGGGAATCGACTTGCGAGTGAGGATTTCGCTGGACCGTGCGGTGCGGACAGGATACCACCCTTTGTGGCGAAGCCGAAGATGAGCTGTTGTTTATTAGCTTGGAAATTGAGGTGGGGCCGATATGTCAAGATTGGGCGTGGGAAGGGTTACGTATCGTAATTACAATAACTTTATCGTTTGGCGTGGAACTTTGGGAAGATAGGCTGAAGTTGTTCCCTTGTTGACAGTCTTGAGAAGGGGTTTGCAAGAAGTGCAGCCCGTTCTGACATTTCTCCGCCTCCGCCACAGGAAAAACATAGAGTAATGTTGTATCTGACTGGGCTGACCTGGAAGAACAAGACCAGTGGTTAAGGGGTGGGGGTGGCGGTGGCGGTGGCGGTGTGAAAGCTGGGAAGTAAAGAACCTTTAGATAAACTGGCTTTAGGTGACAAGGGAAGGGAGAGTTTGAAATGAGGAAAACGAAAAAGACAATGACACCCACCAGCCACATGTCTGGGCAGCGGCAGCTGCTCTCCAGCTTTAATTGTGATTTATAGTTCAGACGGAGGAGATCTAGTGTAATGAATCCCACAGCGGGGGGGGGGGAAAATCCAAACAATACCTATAGCAAGTTAGGCAGATAAGGAATTGTAAAAGGGAGTACCTTGTCAGATCTCTTGTATCCATTAGAGACGAATCCTTTGAGAGACTAGGACATTTAACGCAAATATGAATTACTAATACTTACACTTTATGTTATAGCCCTGGAAATAGACTGGGTCAAATTGGTAAGAAAAGGAAGCTTGTTAAATGGGCTTTGGAAAAAAGCGTTCTTAAAGGGGGAAAATCCATAATAAATGTATGCTAAAGTTAAGGGGTCCAGACAGTTTAAAATTAGCTTTTGATTGTCAAAGTAAATAGAAGACTACTATCTAACTTGCTGTAATATGCTATACAGATTTACCCCGGGATCCTTAAAGTTGGTAATATGAAAGACAGTCAAATTTCATCTTTAAAATTTGAATACATAGTATAATAGGCTTAAATTTATTTTTTGCTCTGTTCACGAATCAAAAGTGCCCATTTTGTTCTTGTAGTTAACAAAAGACTGTTGCCGGTGTTTGAGAAGACACTTGTGTAGTGGTAAAAAGTAAACTTATAACTGGGTCCTGAAAGGAATAATTATTAAATTGGGGTGGGATGATGAAGAAAGTGATTTTAGGATTTTTAAAAGAATTATGTGGAGGTTTATTGATACCTTAGGTTAAAGAATGTAAGAGATTCAAATTAAGATTTGGGGTTTTGACTAAAGAAATGGAGTGTGGTGTGCTTGTGTGCATGTGTGTGTGTGTTTGTATTTTCCTTCTTCAAAATGGTAACATAAATAAGCATATTTTAATGGAGAGCTCACTGGAATGAGAATCTGGGATCCTGGGTTTTAATCCCAATGTTCTGTTACATTGCAGTATTAGACAAATCTCTGGGCCTTAAGTTCCTTCCCTGTAAAATTAGGTTATTGAACTTAATGATTCGGTGGTCACATACCCCTCTAATATGCCATGAGTGTAAATGTAAAAGTTCTCTTAACTTGTACATTGAGTGCCCCTGTCACTTTTGAGTGGCATCTTCAGAGGGCCTGTAGCTCTCTAAATGGCCCTTGCCATTTCTAGTGGAAGAAATTACTTGGTGCTGTGTATGCCAAATGTACCAGGGTTGTCTGGTCCAGATTTTGCCAGTTTTTCCTTTTTTGACCATTCCATATAATTAGAAGAAGCTTATTATGAGAAAAATGTGACTGTACAGGCACTAGAGTACTTTATTTGAGATATAGAAGGCATTCCCCCCACACATTTAATAAAAGTTACATTTAGCCTCCTGCAAAGCAAAATCTCAGGAACTTCATGGTAACTAATCCTTGGTGAAATTTGTTTTTTCTCTTCCAATTACCCATTTACATTATCACCCAAACATAAGTTGATGAGGATAGCATTTCATCTTTGCAGGAAGTATAATGCCTTGCAGAAAGATGACATTTGTAATATGTATTGTCCTTGAAAACTATTATAGACCTCCCCTCTCCACCACTGAGGCGTGGGCCAGGCTTACTTTGATCTTTTGATAATCTGTGTGACCACCAGTCAGCTTGGGGAAGTAAATTAGAATGGCCTGATTTGGTCATTCCTGATCAATAGATTGCATGTGGGTGGGGGTCAGATGGTGGAGGTACTGAGGTCATTTTTGTGGGTGTTGTTATAACCCTTCTAAATACGCCTGCCTATATTCTCCCCTCAAATATTTATTGAGCACCTACCATGGAGCTGAAGGGAGATGGACAGTAAACAAGAAGATATATAGTATGTCAGATTTTTAATCCTTTTTTGTTTGAAAATCACTGTAATGTCATGTGAGTAGATTTCATAGTATTGGTATTCAAAATTCAGCCACTTTTTTTTTTTTTTTAACCATAATGGCCAATTATAAATAGGTTTTCTGTAAATCATACTCATGAAATTATATCTTATCACATATTCTTGAGAAAACTTTTTTTTTGTTGCTATAAATTATAATTCTTAGGAAGCATCTAAATTAGGGGAAATTTTACTTAATTAAAAAAGAATACATTCACAGAGGTGCTATGTAAAGGAACTTTTATTTTCACAAAAAGAAAAACCTTTAAAGGGTATGCAGAGTTATTAAAACTTTTTTCAAGTTTTCTTATGTTAGACTTTATTTCAAAGTAAAGAATGGTTAAAAAGAGAGAGAGAGAGAGCTCCCCCCACCCCTTACACACACACACACACACACACACACACACACACACACACACACACACACACAATGTTGAAGCTGGCAGGTCCAGGAACAGCTCCAGGTTGCCCTCTCTTGGAACACAGGTTGCCCTCTCTTGGTACACACACACACACACACACACACACACACACGGTTGCCCTCAAGGTTGCCCTCTCTTGGTACACACACACACACAAACACACACACACACACACTCACATACACTTAATTGTTACAACTGATGTTGAAGCTGGCAGGTCCAGGAACAGCTCCAGGTTGCCCTCTCTTGGTACAGCTCTCTGCAGAGTGAGGGAGTCTAGGCTGCCCTAGCTTAGCCTGATCTATCCCTGCTCTGGAGAATCCTGAATTAAAAATAGCCTGGCCATCTGCTGGCAGATGAGACAACAGCTGAGCTATTTGTAGTTTCAAAGAATTTAGGATTGTTGTGGGATTGGGCTTGAAGGTAGCATTGTTTGTCTCTTGAGGAGAGTGTTGCTGGGACATAATCCAATCAGGCCTCTAAGTTTCTGGAGTTTCTTTGATGATAGGACCATGACTAGTTCAACTTTTGTTTCCTGATATTGAATATCTACGAAGATACTCTGCAGATGTTATGATGAAAGAGTTCAGGGTTGGAAACTGGCACTGATAAAGAATAGGAGTGAAAGGGGTGACCAGAGGAAGGTTTTAAAGTGGGGAGAGGTGTATAGAGGCAGTGATAAGGGTGGGTTCTCTGCAGGGACATGGAGGAAGATGGAGACAGAAGAATTGTTAGGGAAATAATTTTTGCATCAGATAGTATATGAATTTATGTTGCCCATTATATTGTAAAGTGTTCCTACTGACTTAGTTTTCTTATATGAGTCTGTTACCTATAAATATAGTTTCCCCCAGAAGTATAATATTGAAAATATTTTATGTTTGCAGAACTTAGTTGTCTTCTGCCCCTCTAACCCCACTCTTTTTTTTTTTTTTTTTGAGTTGGAGTCTCACTCTGTCACCCAGACTGGAGTTCAGTGGCCACTCCTGGCCACAGCAGCCTCGACCTGCTGGGCTCCGGCAATCCTTCCGCCTCAGCCTTCCAAGTAGCTGGAACTACAGGCGTGTGCTACCACGCCCGGCTCATTTTTTTTTTTTTGATTTATTGTAGGGATGAGGTCTTGCCAAGTTGCCCAGGCGGGTCTCGAACCCACGGGCTCAGGCAATCCACTCACCTCAGCCTCCCAAAGGCGTGGGATTATAGACTGAGCCACCCAGCCTGGTTTAATCCCACTCTTATTTTGGTTGGTGGTATTATAAAAAAGGGACATGTGGGCAGAGGGGAAATTACTTGAGTGCTTTTGGCTCTGGCTTTATGTTACTTTTGGTAATGCTAATTTTTGTCACTCTTCACCATTTAGGAAAAAATGACTTATCTGCAAACAGTATCTTGCCATTAGTGAACATCTTAATTGTAATTTAGCTCCATCAACAAGTCTCCTTTTAAACTTGATATCTAAAGTAAAAGGTGTTTTCAGTAAGCCAGGCTCCCTGAATTTTTGAGATGACTGGGGAAAAAGAGAATAACAAATGACATGATTAAAAGAAAGATCCTATTTCCATTTGTTCTTTTCTTTCACATTTCAGGTTGGTTTTAAGTTCTCTTGCTCCAGGGTAGCACTGAATGAAATAAATATTATAGAGCACAAGTTGTTAGAAAAGCCCTTTGAAAACATAAGTATGGGCTGAAAAAATAAGTTTGGGTTGCAGTGTGTAATCTTTGTTTATTCTGGAAATTTGCAGTGCACATGAACATAGTTAAAATTCCGGAAAGTCCTTCAAGAAAGAAACCTCAATTTTATTTAATGAAGTTTATCCTAAATTTACTTGACCCTTTTTCAGTGTCTGTTAACTCAGGTAACTCTGCTAGGACGCGCTGTTCCTTGAAAATTACTTTGGGTACAGTTTAAAGAGAAAGGCAAAGT